AATAAGAGTGAGGACAAAAATGAGTGCCAGCAGTCATGCAATGAATCATGTGTCTACCAATCTGACAGGGCCAAAATAGAGCAAACAGAAGCATGTCCACTGTAGACCAAACTAACTGGAGTTCAGGCCAACAGAAATAATCCACATACCATATATAACACAAAGCACCTCCTCAACTGGTGGAAGCATGTGAGTATATGCTCATCAGAAGAAAATTCTGCTTCTGAGATCACTGACTGTTGCTGTTGATACAACATATATTGTTATTACAGCCATGTTAGCAGAGTGTAATGGTTGACTGTGCATTCACCTGGAATTTCTCACTATGCATTGCCTCGAGAAACAAGGTATGTCTATAAGTTCTTACTCCGAGTGACATGACATGGCATCACCTAGAACACTGGATTGCAGGAATTGTAGCACTATGGCATATTGATGTTATTAACCATTATTATGTGCCGTCAAATCAATTCTGACTTATGGTGACCCTTTCCAGTGTTTTCCAGGTAGAGAATACTCAGAAGTGGTTTACTATTCCCTTCTTCTGGGGACACTCTGGAATTATGCAGCTTGCCCAAGGCTACACAAATTGGCTTTTCTGTTGGGACACACAGTGGGGAATCGAACTCCCAGCAGCCAGATGTCTAAGTCACTGAGCTATCCAGCTAGCCACTGTATCAGTGTTAGGCATCTGAAAACACATTTTTCTCTTTCCTTGCACCTTTCCAGGCACCAGCAACTGATGGCTTGTGGACAGGCATCAGTCTCCTGACTAAATCTTTGAGAAGCACTGAGGCTGGGGCTCCCCCTCTGCCAAATGGCAACTTTCACAAACCACCATCCCAAGTAGGCAAATGAATCCACATAACCTTCTCACTCCCTCGGGCCTCCTAATGTGTACCATCTTGTGCAGCACAGATTAAAGGCCAGAAGATAAGGACTCTGCAGTTTCACATGCCTCTTGGATTATTCCTACTCCTCCATGCTTTGTACTTCTATAGCAGACACTGTACACATGCGCCGTTTTGTTTCCTGCTTTAACTGTGAGGAATTGTCCACTATGAATAACACAGAAGAGGTCATAGTTTTACAAAAACAAGCACAGCTAATTGCATAAGGTTTTTGGTACTACATCTGCAGGGAAATGGACAGAATTTAAAACTTCCATATAATACACAGACAATTTTCTGCTACTATCACCAATAAACAGTTTGATGTTCTTACCACAAAATTGTTAATTCTCATACCAGGAGTAGGCAATCTGTGCCCTAGGTCAGTGGTTCTTAACCTTTGTTACTCGGATGCTTTTGAACTGCAACTCCCAGAACCCCCAGTCAGGACAGCTGGTGGTGAAGGCTTCTGGGAGTTGCAGTCCGTAACTCCTGAGTAACCCAAGGTTAAGAACCAGTAACTTGGAACGCAATTCCCATAACCCTGATGGTTGGCTATGTTGTTTCTACTGATGGGAACTGAAGTCCAAAACATCTGGAGGATACCAGCTTGCCATCCACTCCAGCAAGTTTCTCTTGTTGCATACCAGGGATGGGCAAAATACAGCATGTGGTCCTCCAAGTCCCTTTTCAGTGCCCCTCCTGGGGTTCCCAGTCTTCCCACAAAAATGCTTTAAAAAAAGAGAAAGCTCATTTTTCACTAAAATTCAGCAACAAACCACCGATTCTTAAGAGGGATCGCATTTGGCAAGCTTTGCTGAGCTTTGTCTTTAGATTTAGATGTTTGACAGTAGCATTGTTAATTTAAGCAGGAGACCTTAAATAACCCTGCTTTTCCCAGGTGTTTTCCCAGCATATCTTTCCCTTAAAATCCTTATAGCTTGTCATAGATAAG